AAAAGGTGTGTTAGTTAATTTAAGGTAGAGATATGACGAAACTCATGGATTTCAGGTAGGAGTGCTTGGTCTAGTCTCCAACGGTTCTGCCATGTTAACCGTTCGATACAATCCAGCATTGCAGAATTCTTTTGGTCTATTGTGTCTATTACACAGTATAGCCAGTTTCTGTTCGAATACGTCCTCTGGTTCACTCCGATCATTTTGCTGTAAATTTTTTCCGCCTTCTGGATCACCATTGAGGTAATTAGTTGTAATACGCGTGGATCAAAACTTTGACAATTAAAACAGCAGCCACGGTTTCGCTCACTGCTTTGCTCTCAAATATTAGTAAACATGACGGGCGATTATAGGTATTAACCTATAGACATACTACGCATTTGAACATAGAATAGACACCTTCATCATGATGCCTTGATGGCCTACCAAATAATGTAATCAGGAGTTATAGTTCCACTGTAAATCGTACCTTTGTAAGGGTTTCATCGCTGCAGCAAGTAATGAGTTTTTACCAAATGAGGTGGCTTATGAATATAACTGAAGTGTTCAGCTTGTTCATAATGCTAATTCCAAAAATTGAATGCATATTTTAGTTGCGAAACTGACCAGTGTGCAACAAATCATGTTATATAGTAGCAGGTTATTGCTCTTTCGCAGACGTCAAAAATCACTCGAAACTCATTTTCGGGTTTATCGAGAAATATGATGAAACCTTTGCCATTAGTGCGAGGAGCAGTGGAAAGTGATCAAGTTTATCCAGATAAAACCATTCTTTCGGAAGGTCTATGTCGCTGAATATCTGATTTTCAATGTCCGGAAAACTGCGCATAGCAATATGAGCGAAATAAGAAGAAATATGATTTAGTTGGAAAAATTAACAAAAAATTTGGCTATTTCAAATAATTGAATGAAGAACTCTTTTTCATTTTCAGTGAAAGTGAGCTACCGACCGAAGTGATAAACAAACTGCTAGGCATGGTGAATATCGTTCTCTGGCATGCATGTGTCTATTCTCACCTCGCCATTTCCTTGAACAGGGTTATCGCCATTACATTTCCTCTACAAGCTTCCAACTTATTAACACTAAGAAAACCTCCTACGTTGTTCTGACTTGCTGGATTCTGAGTTTCTTTCATACAGTGCCATATTTCTGCAGTGTACAATAAGAAACGCGCATATTGTACTCCATTCACATATTTCCTTGTAAGATAATAAGTTAAATAAGAAGCACTAGTTGTTGATCAATCAATTAAGAGTAGTACACGAATTCGACTCCCCTAAGTATTAGCGAATAATTAACTGGAGGATACTTTCGAACACCAACCAATATCGGCGTTTTTCATCATATCTGATAAGTTTGGCAACATTTGTTGACTCCGAAGGGATAAAGTGCTTCTGTCATTTTTGGTGCCAAAAGAAAATTGTATGCGCCCTCAAGACCATCTTCATAAACTGCACTACATACCCTTTTTGTTTCACTACTGACGTGATAAATATATCGCCATGTCGAGTGAGTGAGCGTTTTCCACAAAAACCAAATAGACTGCATGCAGCTAAATCTATAAGAAACCACGCCAGGAAAGTTAATGCTCTCAAAACATGGTATATGCGTTGCTCGACTCCAAACATATTATACGTTGATGCTTATTCAACTTTCTGGATAACTTGGCTTAAAATTGAATGCTGACTTTCTTTTAAGCCGAGAGTTGCTTTCTGTTCCTTGATACAACGAAGTGGACATGGATGATTTCTGGCACAGCATGCGATCATACGGTATCCGTCTCCATCGATTTCTGCACTATTCTAGCCGTCGTGATTTTGGTCTTTATTCTCAACTGTACGACGTTGATCAGTTTGAGATTCAAACACAAGGTTAATGCGAAATAAGATGATCATGTCCCGTTATATAAACTGTTATTGCCGTGTGACTCGCTTATTTGCGAGCGAGTAAATTTTGCACTTTTCTTTGCCCTGTAGAAGAGTAATTCGGTGAGTACGCTTGCTCGAAGAACCTAGTGAGAAGCATACCATCTCTCCAGGATCTTGGATAATAACTCTGGGCATCAGATCGGCTGCGCTCCTGCTACACATTTATATGCTAAGGAATAAGTCGACAACGGTTTCATTTCCCGTTTCATTTAACTGAATATACCCCTAACCCTATATGTTTCTCGAAAAATTTGGCCGCACGACTTCGTCTCTGTTTTTGATCGCTGCCGTAGATTACAACATCTTATTCCCTCACTCACTTTTCTCTTATGGGATACTTTCAGCATCATGGACGGCCACCCGTTCTATAACATAGAGATGTCCTTTCTTATGCATAAGTATCTAAGACATTCTCCAGAAATACCATACGGTAACAAATTCTGTGGAATCGAAAAATGTGCACGACGTGTTCTTAATTCTATTTCATGCGCCGCCAATTTTATAATGCTCCCTATATGCCCTGTTTATCTTTGGGCTTGTTCGCTCATCACGTCCACTTCCGGCACGCACATGGACGGAATATTTGCAAATATTCATTTCGCTGAGTGTACATGGGGGTGCACATTTCACTTAGAGTTAGTTAGATGTCAATCATAGCACAAGCTTTCCTCAAGTGTTGCCAACTTGAACCATTAATCGTTTCTCTTCCCTTATATTTAGTATCATAAGATAGATATTATTAGAGTAGCGATAATTTATCTACTTTCAGTCCTATATAGATCAGTTTTCCATCTCAATTAATAATATTTTATGCCTCTAGATCAGATTTGAGGTTTTAGAGGTCCTTTAACCTTGTGCTACGCTACCACATCTAAGCCATTGCGAATCCAGGGTAATGTGGCCCCTAGTCCACTGTGATTCGTTTGATACTCTCCATGATTTGCTGAGCTCTGAATACGCTGCCTGGATGTTCTAGCGGGCAGCTTGTCTAAGCCTTGAACTCTTAACGGAAACCTTATTTTTCAAAAGGGAATTCTGATCGTCTATGTTTCTAGTCACATGACTGCAGCTCTTCTGATGATTTTTCTTGTAGGATACATTCTGTATAAACAAAAACTGCGGTATCGGTGCAACAAAAGCGGTATGGCAAAGATTTCACTTGATCTGTCAGTGCACCAAAATGTTGCAGTGGTACCAGTGGATTGTAGTTGCTGAGAATATACTTTGCCTGGCAATTTTCTAATGGCGCCTTCAACTCGGGTAATTTAACCTTTATATGCACAACAGCACTGCCAAAGCAATGAGAAATGACATTGACAATGATAAAGACGACAGTGATCAAGAGTGTTTGGCGACAATGAGAAATGATGACAGTGAGTAATCAGTATATAACAAGAATAAACGACCACAAAATGAGGAAGGGTATTTATCACGACGCACAGATTGACGACTTGCTGGTTCCGTGGTCATTTGTGTGATGGGTGAGCAATCTGCTGACGGCAGCCTTTGCCTTGAAGATGAGCCCAGTAGCTTCAGTGGTTCGATGGTAGAGATGGCTGATTATATATTGTGGAGGCAAAGTCACGTCGTTTCCTGTGGGCAAAGAGCTAGCTATTGCTGGGATATCGCGTTTCCTTCGCCAATGGGAATATCTAGAGACTGGACGATTGCAGGTCGATAAACAAGTCTAAGGTGTCGCCCTTAGTTTGCTATGTCATATCTTTAGAATATGACAACACGTGTAGTCGATTAAAAAGCATTCAAAATATGGAGTATATGTAGAAAATATTTCCATTCATTTGAGGAGTGGTCGACTTAACTGGCAAGCAGACATTCCATCTTATGAATCCTCCAGCGTTTCAGAGAAGCCCAAGGTCGCTTTTGGTTGGCGCATTAGCATACACTCGCAAACTAGTAACTCTCTATGTCGCCTCGCTATTAGCTGCGCTTTGAAATTCCTATGGTGAAGATTTATAGTAATAATGGCATTTGTCATACAACCTGGTTTGCTTAGTCTCTCTCAACTGTATAGCATCATAGCAATCTAATATCTATGTAAATTTCAATGGGAATGGGATACGTATTACGGAGATTACTCTATCTTACAAAAACATTTGTTAGGCACATACCATTAGCTGTATCGTTGAATTTTTTCCAACATATGCAATATGACAGCATCACCGCATTTGACTGCAACTTGGATTTATAACTACTGGTCAAAATCGATCACGCTCCTTTATATCATCTACTCAGGAATTTCAAGGTTAACAAACTTTCTGTGGCAGACGGCAAGAAAGTGATATATTGAATTTTATAACCTTCTACTAAACCAGGTAAAACACTTGAATTGTGGATTACTGTTGATCACGGCGTGTTGGCCAATACTTTTCTTAGGCGAATAGGATAACGCGACACTGTTAGGCTTTCCACTAGGGTTTCAAGGTTTTTGTTTCTTTTAAAAACCATTTTACCAGAGTCTATCTTCCACAAGTGGCCATCTTCGTGATTAATATGTTGTCACATCGTGTCAAACTCAATAAAGTGAAGCACCACCGCTTGAGTGAGGTACACTCATTTCAAAATGCCGTCTTATATTAAATGGACGCAGATAACTGGCGCCCAATATGCGCTGATTCTTGAGAAAAATAAGTATAATGAAATTTTGCTAAGACTTCACTAATTTTATAGTATCCCAAGTTCTCCTTGAAAATGAAATCTCTCTTTTACAGAAGACCAGCTTTTGTTTGAATTGGCTCAAAGAAAACTTTTGTAAGCAAAAACATGGACCCAGGCGGGAATCGAGCCCGTGTTTCATCCTAACCGGGCCGCGTGCTGTGCCATTATACCACTGAGGCACATCTGCCCGACCACTCAATTTTCAACATCTCTATATTAGCTATCAGCCCCAACGCATTCAACAGGCTTGGTCGCGCATGCGATTTGCTTTATGCACCCTGTTGAGCTAACAGCCACTGTTAGATATAATACTCCGAAATTCTAGTATTTTTACTGCTTTTTCGCAGTGTTATGGTGTTACTTATATAAGTAAGAGAATTGAGTGGGTGAGCAAAAGCATGAGCTCAACCAGGAATCGAACCTGCGTTTTGTCCTATCGGGGGACGCGTGCTCTGCCACTGCACCACCTAGGCATTTGATCGACCACTGAATCTTCATCATCTCTATGCTGGCTATCAGCCCACCAACCTTTGACAGGATTAGTCGAGCACGCGTCCCGGATAGGATGAAACGCGGTTACGATTCCCATTGAGGTCATGTTTTTGCTCACCACTCAATTCTCTTAGGTAAATAAGTAACATCATAACACTGCAAAAAAGCAGTGAAAATATTAGTACTTCGAAAACCTTTGTGTTTTAATAAAGAGATTCCTATAATTTCGACGGTATCCACTCAAATGTCGCTCAACGAAAAAGGTATCAAATGGAAGTGCGCTTCGTCAGACAGGTTAGTCTGCTTTATAACTGCTTTATATCTGTGAATCTCCGCAACTCAAATAGTTCCGTCGTATCTATTGCAGACAGTGTACCAAAATGTAATTTTTATCTGTCGGCAAATTAGTTTTTACTGTATTATTCCTCTATTCGAGAACAAAGTGGGGGCTATTCTTCAGTGAAACATTCCTATGGGAATTGTGTCAAGCACTGGATGGGTGAGTGTAATACTATTCCTTCTATTAGCCACCTTTATAGGTTAATTAATCAAGAAGAAGTAGATTACAATAAATATAAGTTGCGCTATGATAAAAAATCAAAAATGCTGAGATGTGGATGGGGAAAAGATTGGAAATGTGCCGAGAAGTTTCAGCAGATACTTATCTTGTTCGTACAAATCAGCGTGCTTCTTTGGGGTGATCTTTAGGATAAAGCCCTGGGAGTTAATCAGCCCCTGAGGGATAGGCCATGCATTCGCGCTCAATTTTTATCTTCGTTTGAGGTGACTGAATGCATATCTGGTCTTTTATAATGACTCGCTGTAGTCTACCGCTGTACCGAGTCAGGGCTGGTTATCCTCCCAGGCAAGTCTGGGATCAGTCTGGTACCAATTTACCGACTTAAAAAGTTGTGTTTTTAATAAAATAAATTGTCTTTTAAATTGCAAAATCGAAAATATGCATTGCTTTTGTTTGATTTTTTGATGAGGTTTGCAAAATTGAAGCGAAGGAAGTGCTCAAGGTGTTTTTCCTCCTAGTGATATATTCCGGATATTTCCTTTTTTGTTTTTTTTTCATATGGAGAACCAGCGTAAAACCGACTCCTTTAGCTGAGCAAGAATTTTTCTTAAGAGATTTATTCATCATTCGAAAGCTTCTATCTGGCTAGTGCGCCGCGCGCTCGTTTTTTGAAAAGACCCATTTGCAACGCTGTAGCATTCAAAATATTACCGTGTTTCACACCAGGTGCATACTCTAACACTTCTATGATGAAAGAATGAAAAGTAGCACGTAGAGCAATTCTTGTAGTGGAGCCATACGTTTCATGTGAAGCTTCTTTCAAAGGGACGAAAAAAATTCCTGGTGAATAAGAAAATTTCCACTTTGCATCTCCGATTAAGGTGCCATCGATTCGATCGACGCTTTGAAACAGCGGTAGTACCCTCTGCCACCCTTGCCCAGTCCACAGATAACCAAAAAAAAATAGACGCTCGCGTATGTGTACCATCTTATTTTCCTGCTGCACTGCACTAAACGAGTCTTTCCAAATACTAAGCGCGAGCGTTGGAATCATCGAAACTTACGCTATCGAATGGTACTGTAATCTGTCCTATCCTGCGAGGAAAAACGCGCTTGTGAAACACAAATGCTTTTTTCATGCTGGAGTATTAGAATTCGGTCCTTCGAGAAATGAGAATGGCTGCAGTAGCCAGAGATTAAGCCTCCGAATGAATATTTTTAAAGTACATTGGGGTCGTTATTCACGAAAGGGTCGTTCATATGTTCCCCTATGACAGATAAGATCCTCCGCATCAACTCTAGTAATTTTTTACTCATCACTGAAGACGGTCTCCGAGGCAATAGGAAACTGATTATTTTACAGGATCGTGGTTGTTTTGTTTCACTTTCGCTCCCTCAAATCGGAAACAGAACGTCACCTACAAGACCGGCAAAGGTAGTTAACCACATTATTTAGAACTTCCTGCTGCAACTCCATTACCGTGACGCTGTCTCATTCTGATATAGGGAGTGGATTATTTGCAGATGCTTGCCACCATCCCTCTTATGAACGTGAACAACCAGCCATGAACTAACGGAGCGTGTGCTGCAGCGTGGATAACAATGGAGATAAAGAAGAACCTACTCTTAGGTGATATTTCACTTTTCAACGATTTTCTTCTGCTACATTCAATGGTCTTTTGATGGTGGTCCATTGATGTAATCTTTCGACTGGAAAAAAGTTGCAGAAGAAAATATGCGTTACATTGTGTTGCTACGATTTTATCGTCATTAGAGTACTGACAAGATCATCAGCAATGATTGGCGCTCTCCCCGTTGCCTTTATACTACAACTATGCATGTTGAAGCCATCAACATCATATTATCTTTGGCAACAATGTAAATTTCCTTCTTCAGAAACTTTTCATGGTGAGCAGTCACCAGCTCGGAAACACTTCCAAGATAGTGGCTATTATCCACTGTTCGTCTTATTTCAGGCCGCTTCTCATTCCAGGACGACGTCGATATCCACAAAGACGCATACACAATATGAGTCAGACGCGTGAATAATAAAACTGCAGTCTAGTTGTCCGAAAATATCGTTCTATTTTCTGATGCACCCACATGATCTTGATGAATTTCAGATTTTCCTCAAATCCCGTTTGATCTTCTGGTCGTGCTACTTTATTCACAATCACATCAGCGCCTTGTATGTGCAGCACTTATTCACAATCACATCAGCGCCTTGTGTGTGTTGCCAGCGTTTGAGCTAGCAAACTTTCGCTCAATCTAGCTCTTCAGTTTGGATCCAGCTCTCCTCTAACAACACCAGTCTTTTATGTGCATAAAGCAAACTCCCCGTCCATTACGAGATTCAATGTTTCTCAGTTTAGCAGAAAGTGTTGATTTAGAGCCAGTAAAATTACGCCCTTGTTTTCAGTTTTCATTTCCCGTCGTCTCATGCAATATCCGAACAACACAGAAGAGGCGAAAAACATAAGCTAGTAAAATTATCTGAAATGGATGCCAGTGGTAGGCGTAGAGGCATCAGTAGAGGCATCTCTGAGCGCAGTGGTGTCTTAAATCTGCATGAGACGATAGGATATCAAAAACCACATACCCTCCTCGACAACACCACTCTCACCTCAAAAATTAGCTATTGCTGACACGAAGCAGCAAAAACTTGGCTTCATGGATCATCTACATTCCTGAAATCTGTGTGCGCCAAATCAACGTTAGACTACACAAAGTTTGGCAGAAAAGCTCTGTATCTTGACAAAGGTCACAACTTGGCCTGTCAAAATAGTCTCAGTACATTCTTCGGTAGACGTAATCCGGGACGTGCAGCCGCGTATCTGCAGACAAAATCTACACACTGCCGTGAAGGACTCAACACGTGCTCTTCATTAGTCAGCTTTTGATGACTTTTCTGTATGCGACAGCATCCTGCAATCACAATGAAAACTTGATTCACACATTTCAATCCAATGAAAAAGCATTCGTCATTTCGTTGCGAAATTCATGTTTTCTTGGGCTATGAGGTTAGACATGTTCTGTTCACACAAGATGAAAATTGCAACACACGGATGCTATGAACATAATCTGAGATGCTTGTTCGCTTCCAGTGACGGTGATAGTTAAGGATTCTTTTTCTCAAATAAGGTAAGGGGATAGAATGACATGATTTCTAAGCCTCATATTCATCAATGATTCAGGTTCATGTCAGCTCCTCTATATAAACTCAAATTTCTGCTGTGTTTGTGTAAAGAGAACGCCTGTAAGGATACACTTGATGCTGCTACACTCTATGCATTCCTGACTGATCACTTTGCGATTCAATTGTTTTTTCAACAGCTCTTCATACAACACGAGGATAAAATATCCATCTATTTGACTTGCTGATTCAAAAGCCTGTTATTACTTTGAACAATGTCCTAGCGGTATGTGTTTAGTCCTAACGAATTTCATTGCTATCTGCTCCAAGCAAGCACAAATTCACGAGTGTCTGAAATTTTCTTCAGAAGTGCGTGCTATGGGAAGCACATTATTTTATGCTATTCCCTTCTTTGGTAACACTTTTTTTGTGTCTGTAATCTTCAAAACTTCAGTTCAAGCGTGTGGTAGGTAAAACATTCCCACAAGCCTACAGCTCGGTTTCACCTCGGCCATTGGTGACGGCATAACGAGCTTGCATATGTGGTGAATAGATTGAGTGAAAGCAACGGTGACTCTTCAAACATTTCGTGCCTTATGAAGTCATAATCCTTGACAAGATGACTGGATTCAAATGAGTTAATTTACATATGAGCGAGCTCACCTGAAAGCAAAGTGCTGTTAATAGAATCTGGAGCCAAGTCGCTCATCATTATGACTTATCGGCATGAATAGACGTAACTGGAGCAATCGGAATAATCACGCCGTTGAGCGTGATCAAGACATGTCACAATCTCTTGGATTTCACACGATCACTGCCTTCGTGGGAGCTAGTCGGAGCCCAATCTTACCCAAGCTTGTCGAAGTCGGTCATCAACTTGTCTTGCCGGTGATTAGTATTGTGAGACCGATATCATCAGCAAATCGACGACGGTGTCATTGCCGAACATTCATTTCTACCCCCATGCTGTCGCATTCAGTGTTCGCATAATACTCTGGAACGTGGAAGAGTATTAGAATGAGTGAGAGTTTTTGGGAAAATTTAGAAAGTTTCATTTTCTGACATCTTTGTGCCCTGTCACAGCCATATTTTTCATCGAGAACTTCTTTCAGAGCAATGAAAACCCCAGATAGTAATTGCATTTGTTGATCAATTGGTTTCTTCAAGTAACGACTACTGATTCAACGAATTGTCGAAATATGACGATAATAGTGGGGAAACCCACTGCTAAATGGAGAAGGCGAAACCAAGCCGGTCGTCTGTAGGGATAGTTTGCACTGAGATAAAATTTATATGCTAAATGAAGTTACATGGGTGAGTAGCAGTAAGTGCACCATTTTTACCTTGTTTATTGATTAATGGTACAATACGCAAATACAACTGCAAGAGACTACAAAAAAACTCAAGCCATGAATGAAGCAAGTAGGATTCGATTCGCGTTTACACTTTTCGGTGGTCACGTAACGTACCATCTCCTACAGCAATCGGAACCCCATGTTTTATTTGTAGTTGTCTCCCAAATAAAGTTGAATAAGCCGAAAGTAATTTGAAATTTTACGAAACTCGGAACATTCATTGTGCTTCGAGTCGGTAGAAGTAATCTCCGCATTAGAGCCCACAAATTTCTCGTTTTTCCGTCGGTCCCGGTATTTGTATTTCTGATTGTTTTTGCTACGAAAAAAGGAACAAACAATTAATAATTTCGAAAGACTTTTAGTTATGCTGCGCAATTACCTGAATTATTCAGCAAGAATCTAAATAAAAAATCAAAAAAAATTAGGCCGTCTATAAATTTTGACCACTAGAGCAATAAACACTAAATTCGTTAACCAAAACCACTTAAAATTGAAACATTTCAGTCGTTTAACTGCGCATTTTCTTTAGAACATTCCGGTATAGAGTACGCCTATGATTGCTTTAAACATGTTGCTGTTGTTGGCAAGAATTCGCTTGCTGCTCATGCGCGAATGACGCTTAGGTCAAATGTTAGTGATCGGCGCGCAAAATTGACGGAGTCTTGTGGGCGATGATACGGTTGTAGAAAGGTCGACTAGGAGTGGTTCGCGAAGAGAAAAGCTGGGAGAGAGCAGTCTGGATCAGTAGTGCTCGGGCCTTCCACAGAAAGCTGATTAATCTTAACCGCCCTGTTACTAGCATTTTTCCCTATAAACGCCACTCGCGCATGGGCAGCAAGCGAATTCTCTCTCACGATAAACTCCACCTTAAAGCAGTCGAGGTAGTTCGTATATAAAAATATTTGCAAGAACATACGCCAGCGAAAGATACCAAAATTATGCAGTTATAATTATATCCGATCATCAAATTTCGTGCTTATTGTTCAGTGCTAGAGCCTACGGAATATTATAAGTTCTTCCGCATGCATGAAAGGTTTGAATAATTATTGCTACATATAACAAACGGAAAGCAAATTTGTTTGTAGTCATGCAAGGAACAAGAAATCTTTAAGTGATAAGCTGGGCCGAACGCTTGTTTAAATGGCCAAAATCTCAAATGTTTTCTATTCTGAAATGCCACACTTAGCTATTATCTACATCAATAATCTAAAAATGAGGTTTTTCCTTGGCTGAAGTCTGCGTTCACCAAAGGCTGCTGCTGCTAGAAAGACTATTTAACATTAAGATCTTTGCTTGCGAAAAAGTTACGAAAGCATCATAGGTGCACTTGTATACAACCTTAGCTGATATAATTTTGCTACAAAAAGATAATTCATTCAGAAGTTTAGTACCGAGCGTATCTGTATGGTCTGGTTCTCCCGTTATGATCGTATATTTAGTGCTGTAGTTCGATTTCATAACAGTGCCCTGCGATAAGAAAAGAATAGGCAGTAAACAAAAGTTGGAGTATTGTACTTCATACTACGCAGTCCAATAACTTAATCGAAAATATGTTGATGTCACTTTATCTCCTACGACTTATTTCTAGTACTAATAGCTTTCACTGCTTATCGCTCTTCACTAGAAAATATTTGAATTCAAAAACTAATCTATATGATAATTCGTCAATTTTATTTTGTTTATTTACGCGTGCCCGTTAGCGCACTTTACTGTGTGGATCCCACTACTTTCCAATACTATTCGTTTTTCTTTATTTTCTTGAACTACGTGGAACACTGGTGGGAGCCTGTCTCCTCAAAGTCTAGAGGATAGCTTGGTCGTGCCGTTTAGTAAGGCGTTCGCTGCTGACTGCCGGAGAAAGTTATGGGGAAAGAAGTCGGCCACTTGTCGCGCAGTGCCAAGCATCACAATCACCCGGTCCAAGCTTCCCCAACTTAGCCATTGTTTTCAATTCAATCTTTCTCACAGCTCCTTATTCCGTTGACCAATCGCAGTACTTCTAGCATTGTATTCATTCTTTCGTCTTTATCTTTAACGTGCGTAGAACAGTGGCTGAAACTTTTTTTTTTGCAATATCAAGGGCAACCAGACTGGGGCGTTTTGAAGGGTTCGACGCCGCACCGCGACCAACCACCACTCGGCCACGGCTTCTTCCTCCGCCTCCCCAACTGTAAGATACCTGCAATATAATCGGCGGTCTAATGGTACCTCTCCTCACAGAAACCACTCATGGTGGCACCAGGTAAATTGTATACTCATTGCGAGAAAGTGCTGTGAGTTCATCAGTATATGATGAATCTTGAAGCTGTTTCTTATTCGGGGAAAATGGATAATCGTTCGCCAATTTGATTATCACGAAATCAATAACAGACTCTGGAGCGATGTTTCCACAGGACTCGTTTGTTTTGGAATACAACATATAACTATGACAAATTGAATAAAAAAAAGCATGTGTTCTCGCCTCGTCACTGTTTTGTATTTTACAGGCGTTTTCAGAGCTTGTCTGTTAATCGTAATCACGCAAACCACCAAATGCTTTGATGTCAACCTTGGCGAATTACTTCATTGGTGTGGTTCACCCATGGAAAAGATGTACGGTGTCGGTGGATCATTGGCCGTGGTGAGTGTTGCTCATTCTTCTTCTGATTTTTTGTACTCATGACAGTCTCCATGGAGCAACTCATGATGTCAAACATACAAACTGCTCTACTCCAAATCTCTGGTATGGTCTTTGTACGGGATGGGTTATGTGCCTTTCTGTGTTGCAACTCTGTAAACACCCAAGCCAATTAGCGTTTTAGTCCGGAAAAATGAAAATTGGTGGTGACGCCAGCGAGAGAAGATATTTAAGGCCTAAGTTTATACACGCATCTTTTTGAGCAGAAAAACAGTGGTCTGAATAACTATGCAGGAATTGTAGAGATCCCACTTAACACATTGCGCCTCCGATTGGTTCGAAACCGCCTGTACTATTGTCTATGCGAACTGTTAACTGCATTAAAAAACACTCTCAGTAGAAGGGGAACTGAATGAGTCAGGTGCAGCATATCTAATCTTTTGTACAAGCATCTGTGGTAAAGAACACAGACGAAACGGATAGATGGTTTTATGTTTATATTAAGAGTACTTAGACATGAAAAATTGAATAGCCGTTTAAGTACTCCTTTGAGCGCACATAAAATCGAAAAACATGACGGGACGACTTTGAAGTGGTAGTAAGAATCTTGAGAACGCGAGTTAGAAATATTGTCACAGAAGCTCCTGAGATCTTTTTGGATTTAATTCATAAGTCTAAAAATGAGCAAAATCTCAATATAACAAGATTGTTATGATATCTTCTCAGAGCTGTTTTCTAGTGTTTCAGTAAGGCTCATTTCATGGTGTGTGACAGTACACCATCAATAGCCTCTTCTGCACTGGTAGTTGAAGCTTGCAGTATAGAAATGTTGCTTATCCCCAACAATGTTGATGCAGAACAGAACTCCGTAGGAGTGTTTGAAATTCTTCAGCAAAATTGGGTGCTTTTTCGCTATGCGTCCCAGTTTTAGCCTTCTCGGAAACGTTTCTTTGATTGTTTTCAAACTATGAGTTAACGTTTTATTTGATAACCTATTGCGGTGTTATGATGTTTCAATAAACCCAGTGATGCAGAGTGGTGTGCAAAAACGTTTGCGTTAGCCGAGATTCGAACCCAGATCCTACTCTTTCCAGGAGCATGTGCTAAAACAGTTGTACCACCGACGCTCGTTTTGCACTCCACTCTTTCTAGGCTATACACGTTATCTGTCAACAGTCAAAAAAGTTTTACGGTGTAGAAGGGGCAGTCATTATCGACATTGAACGCACTTTGTTGACAGATATTTGAGTTTCAACAATCAGTTGGAAATCATTTTATTTGACCGCCTACTGGCGGTGTTATGATGTTTTAGTAAACCCAATATCTGTTAACAAAAGTGGGTTCCAATGTCATAATGACTGTCCCGCACCCGTAGACTTGGCTGCTGACAGATAACGCGTTATAGTAATCGATCGATAGCTTAGATCTCGAAAAATTGGCATTTCTATATTTTTGAACTTGGAAAAAATGAGATTTTTTCTTCAGACTTTTAGCAGCGTTCAATGCTCAAATCTGCGGCAATTCCAGCAATGTATTTTGGTCTCATAAAAACTCTTTATTACGCTGTAGCAGTAAAAAGAAGATTAAGTTAGCAAATTGATTATTTTCGTTTATCCACGTCTTTCTTCGATCCCTTGGAAAACGCGCCGTTTTGATTTTTTTTTTTACTACTCCGGCAATTATCTTATGACTCGAATCGCTCAAAAATTTCAATATCTTAGTTTTGTTTTCGAAATGGCTTTATTATCGCGCTGTAACGACAAAAAAAATTTAAATTCCCATCCAACAATTTTGATGAACAAAGCTTATCCTTTAAGATTTTAGTAACCATTCGATAGCTTAAATTTCACATCCCCATAATATATTTGCTTTTTGAAGAAACTTTTTGCATACGCTATAGCAGCCAGAAGAAGGTTAAGTTTCGTGCGAGCGACATTGGCACGACACCCACGGCTCGTTGCCGGTATTTGGGTAGGATATCGCAATATTGCCACTACAAGCCACAGCGCTTTTCCGATATCATATTTGAAATACGCATCGTTTTTTACTGTTTACAATTGCACTAACAATCTTTTCGAGAAACCAAAAATCTGATTGAGTTTGGCGAAATATTCTACCGAATGTTTACTGAACTTTGTAGGAAAAATGTTTTGTCCAGCGAGAAGTGTTTGGATGAGATAACACGATTTTATTTTTGTTGTTAAAGCGCCCCAAAAAAAGCCATTTTACAAAAAAAGTAATTTTCAATTTGTGGAAATCTAAGTTTTCAAATGACTAT